TGGGTCTTATTCACATGTATACACTTTTGTTCTATGTCCAAGAGAAAGTAGTCCTACATACAGATTATCCGGTCATCAGGTCTTAGAGCTAATTCTCCACTTTCAGTTGCCAATGGCGGCGGCTTCTGTCCCTCAGTGGCCAATGGCGGTGGCTTCTGTCCCTCAGTGGCCAATGGCGGTGGCTTCTGTCCCTCAGTGGCCAATGGCGGTGGCTTCTGTCCCTCAGTGGCCTATGGCAGCGGCTTCTGTCCCACATCTTACTAATCAAATCAGCAACTGAGGCTCAGATATCTTGCAGATGTCAGAACCCTCACGGCAGCTGGGTGTTAACATGGCCAGTCCATTCTCTGCAGTCCACAGAGCACACAGCCATGTAGGCTCATCATGTCCTTCTAAGAATCTGCATGTTAATGATTACATAAGTAAATCATATATTTGAACTACAGTAATTGAATTACTGTAGTTTAGAATAGTGGCTGTATTGCTTTCATATTTGTATTCCGTGCAGCATAACTGGATCTTGTAAAATTCAGTGAATGCTATAGCGAATGTAATGACATTAAATGAGACCTCGATTTCCGTGTCATTATTCCTCTCCATTATTACTGTTGAGGCAATGTCACGTTATTGATGACTGTGTCTCTAGTATCACATTGAACCTTAAATGTCTAAAGTAATTAAATTTTGAATATACTTGATGTGCAGCTCAAAATGTGAACAACACAATACTGTTCAGCTAAACAGGCATTGGCAATCAGTCAGTAATTAAACTTCATTACAGCACAGGCTTCTCCGTTCATGTAAAAAGAGCCCTTGCTGTCTGGCCAGAAGCTGTAAAGCGCAGCGGTGGATTAACGTGGAGTGAGATTGGTGACGTAACAGTGGATGGGATCCTATGAGACCGTGGAGGGACAGCAGTGCTAATACTGTAAAGCGGCATTGTGCTTACGAGGTCGTGGCTATAAAAAAAAATTAATAATAATAAAAACCTTGCTGGCCATTTGCTTGTAAAGTTCCTTACGCGCCTCGTTTTTGTTCACCTTTCCTGGTCTAGATGAAGATCTTTACTCGCCGCCATTACAGCAGGGTCAATACGATGTCAGGCTGAAAAATGGCAAGCGCTGAACCCATTCATGACCTCATCATATTTTCTTTTACTGAACTTGTGCCAAAAAAAACTGGAACTAAACCATTGACGGTAATGACTGAAAAGATGTAGCGTGTCTTTCAGACGCCGTGTGTTAAGGTGGGGGGGGGGGTGTCTGCTGTGTGATCATAGGCACCTGAGATCCAGGCCACATTTTCAGTCCCCAGTATCACCTTTTCATTTTAGCCCATCATTCTGCTTTATTATTCACTGCATATTGTAGGTTACATGTACAATTTGAAAGGGTTTTCCTCTGGTCACCGTACAGCAATACCGAGAATAGTTTATAAATATCATGTTTACTGAGGATCATTTTACTGTATATGCTGCTTAAGATGGGTAAAGATCTATAAAAAATGTACTATTCTCTAAAGATCGATGTACAGGACAGTTTCTGGTTTCTAACAATTGTACTATAATTATAACCACGTGGGTGAAATGAGTGCACTCTCAATGGGGAAAGTGTCCTTGTCATCCAGTAGTTAGTTAATCTTAAATGTAACTAGTAGTCAAATGTTTGTTTCATGTGAAAAGTACTCTGTCAGAATGTAACCAGCTTATTAGGCTGTGCTTATTGTCTATTAAGCGGGGGGGATTAGCTGGGCATATGCCTGCAGATCAGCGTTTAACAATGGGGAAGGAAATATCCGTGCAGCGCAAACCTGGCTGCAAATCACGGAATTCATTAAGCAGACATGAAAGGTGGCCGTCTCTCTGAATGCAGGGGGAGCCCGTCTCTGCGGAGAGCGGAGTCTCCTCCTGCCTGCCTGTCCCAGCAGTGCCACCCCAAAGGGGTTTGTTTGAGGGCCGTAAGGCATTGAATGTTTCTGAGCACCAGAGCACAGTTTTTGATCCATCCAGTAATCACTCGTGTTAAAATTTACAAATGCATAGTGCTACCGGGATCTCAGCTCCTATAAATTCTGCCGTTCTAACTGCAATCCCCCCCACCCCCCATCTACACTTGCTGCCTAATTAACAGATGCACTTGGGATTAGTGTTAGCGATGGCTGTAAAGGTTTATTAGCGATCCAGTGAGCGAGCGGCGTGGGAGTGACACAGCCTGAAGCTGTCAGTGGCCATTCGATCAATAGCCCCCCCCACCTCCCCATGCCTCCCCTGCGAGCACACATGCTTTCCAGACCAACCATTTTGGGTCATTAATGCAGCTTTTTTCCCAAATGGACTAGAGGCAGGTGCGTGTGATAGAGCATGTCCCGTGCGAGGCGAGGCGAGGGCCAGAAATGTGCTGTCCATCCGGATCCTGCACAGCTGAGAGTCGCGGGGAGGTGGAGACCTTTGCTGCCACCTGCGTGCCTCTGTCCTTAATCACTGTGCCTTTATCTTTTCAGAGATGGCCCACTGATACCTGAAGTGAAGCAGAACATAAAGGACTCCTCTGGAGAGTATCACCCCCCCCCCTTCTGCATCTGACGGAAGATCTCTAATCATGATGTCCACATGGCTGCCGCTCGTGTTCCTCGTGCTGCGCGCCGGCTGCGGAGGATCCTTCCCCACGGCTCCGACCGAGACGCCGCCGGAGACTGGAGCCTTCAGAGTGACCGACACCAGCCTGACGCACCTTACCGTGCACCGCAAGACGGGCGACGTTTACGTGGGCGCCGTCAACCGCGTCTACAAGCTCTCGGCCAACCTGACGGAGCTGCGCTCGCACATGACCGGCCCCGTGGAGGACAACTCCAAGTGCTACCCGCCACCCAGCGTGCGAGCCTGCGCCCACAGGCTGGAGCCCACAGACAACGTCAATAAGCTACTGCTGGTGGATTATGCCGGGCACCGGCTGGTGGCCTGCGGGAGCATCTGGCAGGGCGTGTGCCAGTTCCTTCGCCTGGAAGACCTCTTTAAGCTCGGGGAGCCCCATCACCGCAAGGAGCACTACCTGTCCGGGGCCAAGGAGGCCGACGGCATGGCGGGGGTGGTGGTCGGTGAAGAAGATGCCACAGCCGGGGACGGGAAGAAGAAGAAGAAAAGAGGCAGCCGCCTCTTCATCGGTGCTGCCATCGACGGGAAGTCCGAGTACTTTCCCACCCTGTCCAGCCGCAAGCTGGTGGAGGATGAGGAGAACGTCAGCATGTTCAGCTTGGTCTACCAGGATGAGTTTGTGTCTTCGCAGATCAAAATCCCGTCGGACACCCTCTCTCTGTACCCGGCGTTCGACATTTACTACGTTTACGGCTTCTCCAGCCGCACCTACATCTACTTCCTGACGTTGCAGCTGGACACGCAGCTCACGCAGATGGACGCCACCGGCGAGAAGTTCTTCACGTCCAAGATAGTGCGCATGTGCTCCAACGACACCGAGTTCTACTCCTACGTGGAATTCCCCCTGGGCTGCACCAAGGATGGGGTGGAGTACCGCCTGGTCCAGGCCGCCTACAAGCATCGGCCGGGCCGGATGCTGGCCCGGGCCCTCGGCCTGTCGGAAGACGAGGACGTTTTGTTCGTGGTCTTCTCCCAGGGCCAGAAGAACCGGGCTAATCCACCCCGTGAGACCGTGCTATGCCTCTTCACCCTGCGTCAGGTCAACTCGGCCATGCGAGAGAGGATCAAGTCCTGCTACCGCGGTGAAGGCAGACTGTCCCTGCCTTGGCTGCTCAACAAGGAGCTGCCCTGCATCACCACGGTGAGTCCCAGGGCCGCCTCCATCAGCTGCCTGTACTCACTGTGTTCCATCCCTCCTCTCGCCAAGTCTCTGCAGCTCTGGCCCCGGCCCCAGCCCAGGCCGGGCCCCAATCTCTCTTGCTGTGTCCCCATCCATCATTCATTCAAAATGAGAATGGATTTTATAAAAGAGTGATGAATTTTACATTAAAATACTTGTGATTTATCTCTTAAATTACTGTTTAAGAATCTGACCGTGGAGCATGGAGTGATATGATTGGTGTTTAAGGTTTAATCTAGGAAGATGAGTGATTTGCAGTATCTCTCAATTTCCCAGTAGGTTTATACCGAAAGCCGGCATAATGTCCTTAAGACGGGGAATCTGTTGGGCTCTGACAAGTTTTTCAGCCACAAAGTTTGCCTCTAATGGCTTGTTGTAGTGGTAGCTAGCTGCAAATGTCAGAGGCTAGCATAGAAAATAAGATATTGACTCTGCTGCTGTTTAGGATCAGATTTTAAATTATATTTTTTTCTCAATCATTCAACTCTGAGCTCTATAGGTGATTCTCTCCTATTTATTTTTCGCCCTAAGACCCGTAACCATGGTTTTCAGCTTTATTTTTCAATATATTTTTTTAAGGCTGTAATTCCTGGCAGAGTTCCAGCATTTGTATGCAACGATAAGAGCAAATCAGTGTGGTTCATTAAATGTGTGGTTAGTTTAGCTTGGATAAACAGACTTAACCATTTTTTTCATGTTTAGAGAACGTGATTGATTCAATGAAACTTATAGAAAGGTTTATTAGAGGGCAAAGCCTTCATTGGATAATTTATTTTAAAAGTGATATAGCGTGCTTTACATATCCGAAGGATTAAAAAAAAATAAAATATCCGTTGGAGGAAAAAGCCAGATTATATTGGTGGGGGGTGGGCGGGGGTGCTTATGTGCACTTGACTTGTACCAGTGTCGGCCATCATTAACACCCTCCTTCATGCTCAGCAGCAGCCCTTGACCGCGTAATGAGTGTTTGCGTCCCCCAAACCCGACACACACCCCCTTTACGCAGCGTGCACCCCCCCCCGTGCATTTCTGAATGCGGCTTCTCCTGCTTCACCCTCCTCGTTTATAATGAATGAAGATCGCTTAAAAGAACAGCTGAGAATCGCAGGCGATTTTTTTAAGAGACAACGGTGCATCACCATCGCCGTGCTTTGTGTTCCTTTGTTTAATGAAAGTCATGTTTGATGAAAAGCAGGTTAACTAAGTGATAGCTGCCTGGTGTGTCAAGATCCTGTCTGAGCCAAAAGAGTTTATTAAAATCCCTTTTATTCCTGTCTTAAATAGTGTTTTGAATATTGTTTTCGGCAGGTAGTTGTATCTGTTAGTTCCTGGTTTATCAGGTCTCATATACTCAATGTCAGCCTCTCTTCTGACTGGTGTAGAGCTTTCATTTTAGGAGTCCCCCCCCCCCCCCCCAACAGTGAATTGTTTTTGCTGAAGAGAATATAAATGAGAATAGCTCGTTAGCCATCTTTATGCATCGACCGTTGTCCTTCGTTTGGGCATCTGTGTTGGGTTTGAGCTTGTTTACAAGTAGCCTGATTAGTACCACTGACGCATCACAGCTAATCGTGTTACGGAATAATAAGCGTTCTGCTAGGAACTGGATATTCACACGTGATCTCTCCCCCCTCCGTTCCTTTTGTTTTTAAGCCCAAGCAGATTGGCGACGATTTCTGTGGCCTTGTGCTGAACCAGCCACTAGGGGGCCTGGATGCGATCGAGGGGACGCCCCTGTTCGACGAGCGTGTCGACGGCATGGCCTCGGTGGCCGCCTACACCTATGGGGAACACACGGTGGTGTTCTTGGGCACTCGCAGTGGTCATCTCAAGAAGGTGAGTCAGCCAAACCGGAGCGTCCTGAACCTCAGTGGTGAGAGTGCTTGGTTGTGTGGTTTCTTCCACAACGCAGGGGACTGGGCTGTGGGGCGTTTTTTAGCTTCTGAACAGCAGAAAAAGCAACTGACTCAACTCACAGTTGGGTCTCTGCTTAAAAGGACTGAGTACAGTTTAGGTCAGTCATGGGAAAGTTAAGAGTACATGGTGTGTTTTTCCGGCCTGAAGCCAGTGATTTCAGTTCTGTTTTTTAATTTGCAAATAAGGGCTCTTGAGTGCGTTCCAGTGCGGCCCCTGACTGGCGTGGGTGAGTGTTGTTTTCCTTTGTTGTTAAGATGCAGTCCGGCCCGGTGGGAGCTGCCAGGATGACACAATCGGCGCTCGTGTACAGGGGTGGAGGGCGAGAGGGGGTTCAGTGATTCACAGAGTGGGGGGCTGCTCCTTCAGGGGCGGGCCGTATCGCTTCTCTTGGAGCACTCCCTCTATTCACCTCTGTCTGCTCCCTCTTAATGCCGGCGGAGTTTGGCACCGAGTTCCTCATTTGGCAGATTCCACTCGCTAACCCAAATTCAGGATTTGTCAGCCCCGCCGCACACTCCGGGGTCTTTGTTAGAGCTGATCTTCACACTAACCAGGTATAAGTTAGCAGTGTGGCAGCCTGGTGGCTGTTAGCTGCTCAGCCTCAGCTTGCTAACTAGTGACTGCTTGTGTGAAACTGAAGTCCAGCACGATTAGTGTAATTAATATTAGCTGTGGGGCAGCAGGCCGGCTGAGGGGCGGCAGGCCGGCTGAGGGGCAGCGCTGTCAGCTCACACCTCCCGGCTGGTGGCTTGGATCTCAGCTCCGCTCTCTCTGGGTGGAGTTTACATGTACTTCCTGTGTCATGGGGCTTTCTTCCCGCCGTCCAAAGACATGCAGTTAAGTTAATTGGTGTCTCTAAATTGCCCATATAGTGCATGTGTGTGTGTGTGTGTGTGTATGTGCGTGCGTGTGCGCCCGGAGACGGACCCGCACCCCATCCAGGCGGTGGCCCTGCCTTATGGCTTGCACTGCCTGGGCCTGGCTTCAGGCCCCTCTGGGATCTGGATCAAGATAAGTGCTTGGAAGTTGGATGTTAGATAGATTTCATCTGAAGGGCTGAAGTGCTAAAAGAATGAAAACATTTAATGTGGATCTTTTTGAATCATCATGTGATGTTTGATAATATAAATTGATTTTGTTTTAAAGATAATGCCTAATTCTGTTTTGCATCTCTGATTAGGTCGATGACTTTTACACTCAGTGTATTAGATCATAGAATAGAATGACTTATTTACATTGTAAAACCAAATGCAACAAAATTAAGTCTTGGCATATGCAACCTTGCTCTCCAATTGGACCAGTGTTTCTCAATCCGGTCCTTCTGAGAGTTGGGAGGGAGCAAAAACATGAACTGTCTATGGGTCCCTGAGGACTGGAATTGGGAAACACTTATTAGACACAGACCCATGCATACAGGTGAGAGAAAAGCTTGGGGTCAAAGTGACGGGTCAATCATTTATTCAGCGCCATTTTTGGGGCTAAGGGCCTCGCTGAAGGGCACAACAGGGACATGAGCACTCTGCGAGCTGAGGGACTGGAAGCAATGACCTTTCGTTTGCAGGCTCAGAACCCTAACCCATGCTGCTCTGTGACACATGAATTGGTTTCCTTTTTATTTGAAAAGCTAAATAAGCTAAATTAAGAAGCTCAAACATAAGCCAACTCAAACGCAGTTCATGTCCAAGGTCAGGACAGAGAAAGCTCTACCTGTATCAAGTAAAAATCATCTCATTACATCACTCCATTGATTACATCATTGCAGCACAGGGTTAACTTCACTATTGCCAGCACTGCAACCCAGATTTTGAAAGTGAGCATTGACACGAGCAAAGTGTACTTGTTCACTTTATGTTGGAAACAGTGTGTGAGAACCTTAAATTGACCTGCTGCCTTGCTCTGTGCCGTCTGTTTACCTTCAATATATGAAGTTTACAGTTTGGTCTGTTCTGCCTGTATGTCTCCTCACTGTTTGGATATTCTTTCAGTTTGTTGACATCCACCCTTTATAAGTTTTGGCGATTATGAGTACTGGGAAAATGGAATTATGTTTGGAACTGATACCACCAGACACGGAGAGCACAATGGCCTGTGTCATTCCGCCCCAGGATAGCAATCTAAGGGCACTAATTGTGTGTGTGTGTGTGTGTGTGTGTGTGTGTGTGTGTGTGTGTGTGTGTGTGTGTGTGTGTGTGCTTGTGTGGGGCTGCTGGCGTATGACGAGTTCTGTCAGCCAAACCAGATGGCCCTAATAAACAGGCTCAAGTGACCCCCCTCAAATATTATATCAGAAGAAAAACACTCTGACTCCATCTAATCCCCTGTGGCCGTCAGTGTTTAGAACAATAACATTGTTCCACCTGGCCAGTCTGCGAAAACATCTGAAGAGACAAAGGATCCTTTTGGATGCGTCCACGCCGAGTCGCGTGTGGACTTCGGGGAACGCGGAACTCCTGCAGGACAGGCGGTTCTGAGTATGGATGATAAACAGGCCTTTAATTACAGCCCTATCTCAATCAGCTTCTCTATGATAATCCCTTTTAAGGCTGCAAGTGCACTAGGACTCTCCGTCCTGATCAGAGCAATCGCACAGAAGCTTCTCAAACAAGTGACAATTTCAGACTTCACAAATAGATCAGGCGCTGGGATCCGTAATAATTATCTCTGTCTGTTCTGCCTGCCGTGGTTCCGCTTATACGCTTAAAGGTAATGGATCCCATTGCCATTCAGACTCCGGAAATGTGCATCTCTTAGTGGCTGTTTTCATTTTTCCAGGACTGAAGGGGAATCAAAGCCGACAGGTTTTGGATCTCTTGGAATTGCGCTCTCTCCTGAGAATGACCGTGGAAGATTACTGTATGCTGTCTGTTTTGTAAAAAAAATAAATAAAAATACACTTTAAGTAATATGGTAAAGCTATCTAAAAGAGCACTCTTAAGCTATGCCTGAATAAATGTAAATATAGCATCATTGCATGGATATATTGCCACTTCTCAGAAGCGGTGAGAAAATCCGCCATGTCTCCTATATGGAGTGGAGCACGGTCTCATTACCGTCGCCTGGGAGGGGAAGCGGGCCGCTAGCGGAAGCGCGCAGCGCCGGCGCCGCTCTGGTGCCCCCCCCCGCTTGTTTTCAGCAAGCTCTCCTACATGCTTCTATTCCGAGTGGAGGCTGGGGAGAGGCGCGGCGGCGGGGCCGCCAGCGCGGAGCGGAGATGCAGAGCTGGCCGCTGCGGAGATCCTGCCCGAACCGGCGCTGGCTGCTGTCGCCCCGTAGACGGCATAATTAAAATTAAGTGGATGACGAACATGTGCTGCAGACCGGCAGATTCACCCCCCCCCCCAGGCTTTAGTAGAGCAGTGAGGAGAAGTAAGCAGGCTTTCCCAGTGTGGATTAATACAGGATGAAAAGTATTTAGCGTCATATTCCACGCAGGGGGCGCCGTGGTGGGAGTCACTGCGAGTCACTGCGATCGAGTCCTGCCCCGCTATTTGTATGTGGAGTCTGCGGCTGTGTGTGTTTCCTCAGGGTACTCCGGTCACCTCCCGCAGCCCAAAGATGTGCCATCGTGTTAATCGGAGTCTCAAAATTGCTTTTGTGTGTGTGTGTGTGTGTGTGTGTGTGTGTGAGAGAGAGAGAGAGAGAGGGAGACAATGGACTGGCTTCCTGTCCAGGCTGTTCCCATGCATTACATGCATTGTGTTCTCTGCTGCCTTTAGATGGGCTCAGTAACCCCCCCACTCCCCAAGACCTTGTACTTGATAAGGGGGTGCAAGTAGATGGATGATGATGAAATTCTGTACAACAGATGTCATCATGTGGGGTGGGGGGGGGGTTACGCGGCTTGCTAGCTTTGCCACATGTAGACGAGTATCGTTACAGACACAGTGTGCTAACCTACACCCTCCTTTAAGGAGACGGCAGCCCCGTCTTGACCCGTGTTTCCCAGTTCTTGGTCAAAACCGCCTTCAGTTTTAATTTGGGGTTTTAAAGGCGGCGCACTTTTGGTTCCTCCTGTATGCTGTCACTTCCCCACTGAGTCGCTTTCTTGCCGCCTACAAGCAAAAAATGTAACTGTGTGTGTGGGGTAGAGGCTTAGGGGATGTCCCTGTAAGCACAAGGTTGCTGGGTCAAGTCCCGGCAAGCAGCCTGCTGGAGTGCTTTAAAATTCTACAGTGAAAATATCCGGCAGTATAAATTGGTAGGCCGTGTTTGCGCGCTTTGTTGATGTCCTCGCGGAAGCCAACGTCGATGCTGTGTGACTGTTTGTCTGAGGGGAGGGGCAGCACCATCGAAACACGCTCTTCGGACTGGCCCTCGCATATCTCGCCCTCATATCGGATTATTTGTTTTGGCAAGCGAAAAGAGCACAAGTGCCGGCTTTGTAGCGCAGTACGGAAATCACCCACGAGCCCCTCGCACTTCCTCTCGCTCTAAGCGGGGTCGCTGCGGCCTGTGTGGGTGGGAGGCACCGTGCCCGTTTATCAGCCCTGGAGTTTACTGATCGCTCTCCCTGATATATCGAAAGTTTTAATATAAAGGCATCAGCAGAGATGCAGTTGGGGGCTTGATATGACTCACACACACACACAGGCGTCTCCGGGTCGGCACGCGTCCGTGCGGAAATGGCTACGCCGCTAACCAGACCTGAAAACTACGGTGGCCCGGCGGCTTCTCAGAATAAAGCCTGTCATGGTTACTCGCGCCCACTGTGTGTTGATGAGGCAAAAGTCTCTGGCAAACTGAGAAGGATCCTGGTTGAGTCACTGGACGTGAGATGGTGTGGAGCGCCTCGCGCAACCAAACGGCCTGATTCATTTGTCTTAAGTGCCGCGCTTCTCCAGAGAGGTGTGATGTCGTCACGGGCAGGTCGGGGGGTGGGGTGATGCCACCGTGGCAGACACGCTCTGCACCCCCCACCC